CACCAAGGAGCGCCCCATCACGCTCACCTCCCTGCTGTACCGCGTTTGGTGCAGACTGAGGAAACCGTTACTGGACCAATGGCAGAAACAGCTTCCCACAACCATGGACCATGACAGAGCACGACCTGGGGCACACGTCTTGCAGGTAGCCCTTGAACGCTTGCTGAGACAGGAAGTCCAAAGAGCAAATGGTCGCCATGGCATCACATGCCTGATGGACATGTCAACGTTCTATGATACCATCAACCTCACCAGACTGCAACAAGAAGCACGGCAACTCAACTACCCGCCGCTGATGCTGGAGATGGCCATGCAGCTTTACACCGGACCCAAAGCAATTGTTGCTGAGCAAGAGATGACACCATTTTTCCACGTGCAGAATGGAGTTCCAGCAGGCTGCCCTCAGGCACCATTGTTGGCCAAGGCCGTCCTGGCACCAGCACTCCAGCCGTGGAAATCCAGTCATCCTGAAGCTCATCTCTCCAGCTGGGTTGATGATGTTGGCTTTGATCTGGCGGGCTCAACTCCGATGACAGTGGCCAAAAAGGCAGTCCAGGCATACCGAGACCTGCATGAGAGATTGGTTCACCTCGCCCTCAAGGTCAACCCACAGAAAACGGCCTTCATCACCACCGACAAACACACTGACAAGGCCCTACGAGAGCTGTTGACACCGGATGATCCTCCAATCCAAACGGTCATGAGGGACTTGGGAGTTGACCACCAAGGAGCAAGACGACGAATCCCAGTGATGAAGCACCGACTCACCAAAGCACACAACAGAAAGATCAAGCTTCGAACACTACGGATCCCGGCCCTCAAGATCAGGTTACGCCTTCACCGAGGGGGCATTCAGCCGGCTGCTCTGTGGGGAGTGGAAGGACAAGGCCTGGCACCACGCTACAGAACCCCCCTCCGACAGGCCATGGCCAAACACTTGGGGCACCACACTGGTGGATTGCTGGACAGCACCTATGATCTTCACCACAAGAAGTACATTGACCCAGGCGATCAGGTAGTCCTGCACCACATCAAAGCCATACATAGCCTCATCCAAGCCTGGCCCGAAGACCAGATGGCTGCACTGGAGCAGGCCTGGGAGGCCACTTTCAGCCAATTGCAGAACAAACCCCACCCGTGGTATACAGTCAGGGCCCTATGGCGGCGGCCATCACCCATCTACGAGAATGGGGATGGCAGGCAAGCACACTCCTGAGATGGACCCGCCCAGAGACACCACTGATGATGGGTAATGAACTTGACCTGCAACAGCCTTGGTGGAAACTCGAGAAGGTCATCCTCCAGGAAGCCAAGAACCAACGCATCAACAGACTTGCCAGCAAACCACACTATCACAATCTGGTCACAGGCATCGACTGGCACACCTACCATGCTGTCAAGAACAAGCTTCCGGCCCAGAGCAAGCACTACCTCAACACATGGGTCCAAGCAGCAGTGCAGTACAGGGAGGCTACCAAGATCAAGGAATGCCCCCTCTGCCACGTGGAGGCCACACCCAAGCACATTCTCTGGTTGTGCAACTGCCACAAAACCCAAAAACATGATCCAATGCCGACAGAATGGATGGAGCGCATCACGTCCAAGGATGAAGAGCCTCTTTGGACAGCAGGCTGGATTCCGTTAGAGCCCCAGGAACATCGCACCCACGAGCATCCACATCAAGGCCATGGATGCTGGGCTGACCTGACACCTTTGGATGGGCCTACACCCTTGATGCCACGCCTTCTTCCTATGATGAACGCAACCAGATGTGGGTTTATGGGCTCTGCATCCACACCATGAGCTTGGGACAGCTCAATCGGCTTGGCGCCATCACGGGAGTGGCCACTGGAGCACAAACAAAAGCCCGAGCCCTCTTGGCAGGGGTTGTTGCCCTGGCCAAGCACACACAACCTCAGCCAAAGTCATCGTCCAGCTGGCCACTGTCTGGGAAGCATGGCATCAGCCCAAGAGCCGGGCACCCTTCAGTGACATCCTCGAAGAAGTCACGGAGCAGGACTTTAGTCGCATCACGGTCCTGTACGTCAGCAAGGCCACACGTACACCAGAGGCCCCCGGCAATGAGCCCCAGCTCAGACGCAGACAGCGAGATGCAGCCCTCACGGCGTGGGAGAGGGCCAAGCAGTTTCAAGACCACAAACTTGAGGAGTGGCAGCAAGTCCTCGACAACGATCACCAGCTGGTGTACAAGCATGCAGTGCAGAGGCTGGCCAAGATCTACGAAGACCCACAACACTACATCCATCACAAGGCCCCGCGACACCAGGGCAAGCAAACGAAGCAATACAAGCGAGACCTGGTGAAGCAATGCACCAAAGCCTGGGATGACACACACCACAGATGGGAGCCCCACCGAAGCGGATACCAGTGTGTTGCCTGTGGCACCCGGATGCATCAAGGCCTCACCAAGACCATACTTGAAGAGCGCCTCCAAGAATGTTGCCCACAAGTCCTCCTCGCGCAAGTCCAGGCCACCCCAGCCCAGGCAGACCCACCGGCCAAGAAGCAAACCAGGGCCCAGACCATCAAGAACCTCTTGAACCAGCAACAGCAACAGCCGCCAGGTCCCTCAGACCATCACTTTGCTGAGACCACTGGCTATCTCAAATGCCTCAAGTGTGGGGTCAACACCCACAAAAGGGTGAACGAGGATGCTTTTCATACCTTCATCTCATCCAGATGCATTGATGAGCAGTTCACACAAACATCCCAAGCCCATCCTAGTCACAGCCTCTGGCAGAAGGGTGAAAAGGTGAGATGCACCACATGTGGCAGCCAATGGAGCCTTGACGGTGAACGCCGCATCATCTCCAACCAGCACCTCACCAAGGCCTGCAGAGGGGCAAGTGGCAAGGGCTCTCCACCCATCAGTGAATTCTTCAAGAAGAAGAATGATGGCCCAAGTCAAGCGTCAACACCAGCCGACCAGGAAAGCCACACCGGCCCCACACCTAGGCGGCTGCACTTTCCAACCGCACTGGATGAACAGGAGGCAGCCAACCAGCTCTATCCAACTGACTCTGCCCTTGAGCAAGCTGGCACAAGTCATCCGACACAGGCGATGCACCTTCGCCCAGCTGTCGACAGCCTGCCACCAGGGCAACTCAACGACTCCCGTCCCCAGGCTGCCGGGTCTTCCAGCAGTCAAGAGTGTGGGGAGGAGGAAAGCCCAACCTCGGATGGAGCAATGCAAGTCGACTACTTCTAAACCGGCTCCTACGCGGCGAGCGCGCTGGCAGCTGCGGCCCAGGCCAATACGGCCTTCGTTCAACACAGAAAAGGTCTCCTTTAGGAAAAAAATACATACATACATACATACATAACATAACATACCATACCATACCACACCATAACGGACCATACCATACCACACCATACCATACCATACATACCATACATACCATACATACCATACCATACCACACCACACCATACCATACCATACCATACCTACACACATACATGGCTCAACATTTAAGGTCTCAAGGAGGCAGCCTCATAAAGACCTGCTAGTGTGCAGCCCGCAGCGAGGTCACCCAGAGTACCACCACCGCCACTAAGATTCACCGGTACCTTTTCTTTGCCCGTAGTAGCGGAGGATAAGGACACCGGCATCTCTTCCTGCTGCACTGCTTGAGCGGTGCCTCAACCTCCTGGACCTCATCTCTGGCATTGGTGCTTCATCACTGTATCCTTCACTTCAACGGCATGCTCAAGGTCTGTGCTCTGATCTGTGCCTGCAGCCTCGACTTCAGGACCCTCTCAGGAATGCAGCGCTTCCACATGGTGCTGTGCTGTGTGCAAAGGCACTGCTGCGGCAATTGGATCTGGACAGACAAGTTGAAGCCCAACACCAGACGCCGCCAGCTGGTGCAGGCCAGCAGCAGCAACAACAACAACAAGACCAACAACCACGACGACGACGACAAGAGCAAGAGCACGAGCAAGACCACCATCACAACCACCACAACCATAGCAACAACAAACAACAAGAACAAGAATCAGCCATTTCCTCCTGACCTTCTTCCTTCACCTCCCTCTTCCTCCTCCTCACCAGCGCCTGGCTGTCAGGCGTATGCCTTTAAATATAAGCAAGGCCTACAGGGCATCGTGTTGTCCTGCCCCACCCACTCACCGATCAAGATAGCATGCATGAGTTGCCCTGATAGTTTTTCACATCTTCAGACCAAAGGCAGTAGAAACAAGTGCCACGCTAGTAGTAACAGGTGCCTTACTAGTAGTAACAATGTTTGCTATTAGAAACAAGTGCCACGCTGCCCTAAACAGCCATAGGCAGAATCACACACACAGGGCCCCGCGCCCATCCTTTGGCAAAGCAGGCCTACCGTTTGAGTGGAAAGGACTGCACAAAGTGTGTCAAGACAAGTTGATTCGATGAATTTGTTTCAGGCCTCAGCATTTGCAAAAGCCATGTCCGGCAAAGCCTTGCTTAGCTGCTAACACGTCTGCATTTGAAAAGTGTTTGTAATCAATGCTGGCCCCATATGCAGGGGCAACTATATAAAAGCCCAAGTGGGAATGCAATTCAATGCTCTTATTGTAGGCACCATGCCAGGAACTACTTCCCAAAAGATCTTATACATTCTCAGTCAAACTGGGCTCACTGCTCAAGATGTTCATTGACACTCGCCCCGCTTCAGTGCACTTGCTACAGTATGCTTCTTGGTGCTGCTTCATGCTTTGTGTGACGTGTGTTTCTTGAAACTGGAAAGCCTAGTAGTGTCCTTGTTCCTAGTAGTAATGCCAGGAGCCACTAGTAGCTTCTTGTTACTAGTAGCGATGCCCTTTGTTAATTTGAAGCTCTCGGAGCTGAGAAAAGCATGTTGGGTGAGACATGCATTGCTGTGAGAAGATGCTCAATCAGGCGAAGAGCGATGCCTTCCCCGAAAGCTTCGGAACCGCAGGCAGATTGAAGCAGGCTTTCAGCTGCTATACATGGCGCAGCATCGTTTTTCTTTCGAAGCCAAAAGTCGAAGCTTCAGCCTGAGAAAACACTGGCTGGGCTAGAGCTTGTTGGAGCGAGTTTGACATTGCGATACTTCTGGCGGGCTGGGGTACAAGCTGGCATGCACCGGCTGCTCTAAAAACCTGAGTGTGCAAACGCCAAAGCCATGCCAACAAATTAACAAACGCATTTGTAGACTGGATGATTCTGAATGAGGCCGTTGCTTCTCCTTCAGCATTTGCAGTCTCTTTTCCAAGGATACCTTGAAACTGAAACTGTGCAAGGACACATTTGTGTACTGCAATTCTTCAAGCTGCGAATCTCAGGCCCGTGCACATTCGCAAAGAACGTTGTCGTCCACTTCCTTCAACATCTCGAAAAAAACAGTCATGTCTGGACCTCGCAAGCTATGCATAGCTATGCAAGCTGGTAAGCTATGATTCCAAGCCAAGCCGATTTGCGAAATCGCTTCCTTCGCCATTAAGGACCCAACCCGAGGATTTGGAAGTCAAGCAAAGACCTTGGCTTCAGAGTACACTTCTCCGTGTTCGATTGCCAAAACCACGGGTTATCGGGTCCTGGATGGTCATAGTATGATGATGTATGATGATTATTAAAGCTGAGGATGAAACGCAAAGGGACAAGGAGAGCCTTCTTTTTCACATCTCCTCTTGCCTGTCTGACGCTTCCAGCATCGCCAACGGAACTAGTCTGTGTGCAGCACAATCTGGCAGGCCTTCTTGATCTGCTTCACTACATTCTTCATTGCCTGGACAACCATTCAGAGGAATGCAACACAAGGCTAGAACCTGGGAACCTGTGTTCTACACAACATGCGGATTCTGCGGATCCATGCCATATGATGCCGTCGGAGTCCCAAGCTCCCTGCCTCGGGATCTGACCCAATGGAATCGAATCGTCCTTCCTCCTGTTCGGTTCACTCACCAACACAGCACTGCCACACCCTCACAATGCAACGCACAACTCAATTTGCTTCGCCCTCACTGTGTTTAGTTCTGTTGTGAGGTAACAAGCGGAGGAAAGGTACAATGGCAGGCCTGTGCATCCAGAAGCAGTTTTGCTGTCTCTTGCAGGGAACCGTCTTCGATATATGGCTGAGCCACGTCTTGAGTCAGCATTTCCTGCAAGTGCATTCAGCGTGCATCTATGACCATCTATGCACCGATGTGGTGAACGGCCCATGTCCTCCAGATCGAAGTGCAGCATTGCTCGCAACTCCTCTTCAGGAAAGGAAGACTACCCCAGCATCTGCTGCCGGGAGTTTGAATCAAACATAATCAAAACAAGCCTCAACAGCTTCCGTCAGAGTGCTAATTCTCTCTCGCAGCCTTGGTCGATTCGTTTGAAATGGATTTGTGAAGACTTGATGTCTGAGGGCGTTGACAGTTGGGAGGCTTTCTTGACAAAGTCTCCAGAGACCTGTCTTTGAAGAACAACATGGCCCGGAGACTCGAAGAGACTTAAAGCCTTGATATGTAATTTAAACACGGTAAGACCCTGTCCTCTTTCACAAGCCCATGCTCCTTCAATTGTGAGCCAATGAGCTGAAGAGCCTACAGTGAACAGGAAAGGATGAGAAACAGGAAGAGACAATGAGATGAAAAATATGCTGTAGTATATACTTGGCGGGTAGGCCACTAGGGCGGGCTTACAAGTAGCTATGAAATAGCTACTAGTATCTTGGACGCACAGCTAGGGTTCAGGCTTCTTCAAGGAAGCTCCCCCCGCTGAGGGCAGGGCGGAGCTTCCTTCAAGAAGCCTGAGCCTTAATGATTTGGTTCCCAGTAGCTTCTTGCTCCTAGTCGCGATGCCCTTTGTTCCTAGTAGCTTCTTGTTCCTAGGAGCCTTGTTGAAATGGCCCTTACATTTATTTTATCATCTCATTATTATATTATTTCTCTTCTTCTAGAACAGTCATGGTCCCGCATGGTTTGACGTGTTACAGCTTTCATCTGCGCCTCCTCATCACTCAATCTTCTGACATGATGTCCATTCACCCACTTGAACTTGTCGGTGTCAAAGATTGCGGCCACCTAAAGATGCACCGGATGGGACATTCAATTCATTGTCTCCCGTCAGATATGAACAGACTGACTAATTCTTATGACACTTGTGAGTTTAACATGAACGAAACGTCTCCACCTGCAGCTTCTAAGTTAAAAAACAAATATATATATATATAAGTAGCAGGTCCTTCAGGGGGATCCAAGGGGGTTAGAATTCGCAGATCAAAGCACTTGGGCAAACAAATGTCGAGACCTAAATTACTATAGATCTTACGAATAATATCTTGTAATTACGAATATCTTGTAATTGAATAGTTGGAGGCCATCGCTTTTAATTGAATAGCCGGTGACAATTCTCAAACTTTCCAGCACACCACGGAACCTTGCTCATGCGATCCATCTTGAAGGCGCCAAGCAACTCGTCGGTGGTGTAGATTTCCTGCTCTAGGGCAAGTGCTGCAAAGCATGGGACTCCGGCGATGTCCAACATGCTACCAAGCGGAATGAAGAAGGCCTATGCCACATCCTGTATTCAGGCCAGGCCATTGCCGGGCCTGCTTGGTCCCATCATTCCATCCAAGCTGGGATAAGTAGTTGACCTGACAGAAAGGCGTGTCCACAGTTCTCCAACCAGGTTTTTCATTGTTTAGGTTCTCAAGATTTCAGGACGGGACCATGCCCGATGCCAAGTAACCACGGTTCTGATACCTGTAGACAGTCTCATCCCCAATGAAGAATCTCTGCAAACAAGCTCGGACTCACCCACGGAGGCAAGGAAGGGTCTAGAAAAGAGAGAGAACAAAACAAGAACAGCATACAGTAATGTGAAACAAGTACACCCGAGTGTAATATAAAGTTAAAGAACATATAACTAGAAAAAGGCGATGAAAGAAAGAAGCCTTTAATAAGGAACCCTTTAAAGGGGCCCAAACACCTTCTTTTCAAAGACATAGGGCCATAGGGCTCAGACTCACCGACGGAGACAGCCCCATGTCGTTTCGACAGCTTTGTTCGATCCTGCCAAACCACAGGGACCCACATGCGACTTGTCTAAAATCACTACATGCCACAAGCAACATGTGTCATCAATACAACAAGCACTTTGCAAAAGTCCGGAGCCAAAATCAGGGGCATGTGCCCGAAGGTTGGGACCTGCGTCCAGAGTTGTTGGCACATCAGCGTCTTTACCATGCACAACCGCTTTGACGTACACAATTCATTTGCCATTTGCCTTATTCATCCTTTTTCTGCACATGAGGCCCGACCGGGGGTCTACAACATGCTGGTATGGAGGCAGAGATGCAATGAGTTGAGGTGAGCCGCGCAAAAATAGGCTAACCCGAGATGAGCTGGGCTGACATGAGAAGAGTTGTGGTAATGTGATGTCACGACAAGCGAACTCCAGCCAGTTTAGAAGTTGGGAACAGGACAGGCGCAGTGGTGAGACATTTTGAGCTCCAAACTCACCAGGGACAGATGAGATGGGAGGAGGCATGGAGGACGGATGAGATGGGAGGAGGCTTTTAGATAACAAGTTGGGGTGAAAGCTGGTTTAGTAAAAAATTCTGTCAAACAGAAGGACAATCACGAGTGGTGAGAATCCAGTGTACATTCAACGTGCCTGGCCCATAAAACCATGGGAACTGTGCATATCATAGAGTGGTGATATGAACGAAGGGTGTGCAAAACTAAGGTGGGGCACCCCTTTAAACGCCTCATTCACAGGTGCCCTTACATGTTTTCTTTTCAGATATCCGTAGTAATCTATATATATATATATTGTACCAATAGCTATTACAACAGGGCAAGACCACGACATGATACCTTTTGTCGGGTGAATGCAGGCTGCCACCTGTGTCTTTCGCTTTACTCGGCTGTCCAGTTCTAAACCACCCCAACCCGGTTTAACCAATTCTGCAATGTGTTCACAGGAAAAGAGGTCTAACTCCTCAAAAGAAGGGTGGCCAAACTCAAGTGTCAGCACATTCCTTACCGTTTGGAAGTCAAGGCGGACAACCTGGCCAAAACGCCCATTCAGTGCGTTTTTGTCAGAATAGAATCAGGAGTCTCAAAGTAGTTTCTCTGACAGGTCCATGTGAGCGATAATGAAAAAAACACTATTGTGTGAACCAATGGAATGGCAATATACAAGTATATATATGATTTATGTTCCGGTATCGTTTTCCACGGAACATCAATTACTACATCACATTTTACCCAAAGAAATAACAGCAACCTCTTGCTTTTTACAAGCGAATGTCACTGTCGCGTCTTCCACTCTAAAGTATAGTGCATCTGCGCCAGGGTCTAGCAAAGCAAGTGTTCGTAGGTTTGGGCATCCTTTTCGGTATCGGTTTGGTAGAATTTTATTCTTCGCGCCAGCATATCAGCAAATCATTTTGGAACGCCAAAATGCAGAACAATACTTGGCCATTTTGAAAGAACACAAGCCTAGTCATCCTAGTCTCAGTCCATACAATGTGCTTCATAGCTTGGAAATAGCAGCAACCAATTCAGCATCTCGATGCACATGCAACTCCCCTGAAACAGGTATCGTTTCACATGTGCTGGTATCGTTTTCCATGGTTTGTCTGAAGTCTAAATCTCTGACAATATTCCACATGCACATATGGGGGGGAACGAAAGCCAGCAGCCGCCAGACGAGAGGGTCATTTGCTACATAGCAAAAGGTTCGGGAGAAGGTTGCGGGGCAGGTCCATGAGGAAGGAGGTTCTGGAGAAGGTTCCGGAGCAGGTTCCAAAGCACACAAGGCTCCAGAGGAGGGCTTGGACAGCGAAGAAAGTGTCTCAGTGGCGCTTCTTGCTGTTGGGGACTTTCCTTGGGCTTATGCCACTGATCCGCCCAAAAAATAAGCATACGTCGCAGCTACACCCTCTTCCCAGAGACATAGAGACACAGAACCATAGAGACATAGAGACACAGAGTCATAAAAAACAGAGACATCAAACACAAAGAAGTTGCTATCTACAGGGGATCCTTTCTGATAGCAACTTGTCGCTGCCAACCAATTACCACACTTGCCCCAATACATCCAAGGAGACTTCTCTGACAGGATGACTAGGAGGATGGCAGGAACTATATGTCTCAGCATTGGTGTCACCAACCGTGATCTAAACATATGGCATAGATCCGTTACTATAACCAATCCTTAAGCAGCAAGTTCTTCACGCCACCAAGTTGCTATCTACACGGGCCCCTGTTCTGATAGTGATGCCAACCAACAACCATACTTGCGCCAATACATACAACCAGTATCTATCTATCTATCGATCTATCTATTCTGTATCTATCTAGCTGCGCGGCCAAGCCGGAACAACGTTCGGTGCACGTGGACGCCGCGAGAAGCATCCGCTCGACGGTACAGGTATAATTAGTAGAGACTAGGATGGTTGCTCTGTACATGGATGCCTGTCTCCACTCCAGTGCTCAATGCCCATTGTCCAAATAGCCTCCACAGCCCTCGTGATGCTAATGATGTACTACTCGGCGTCCATTGCATCACCAGACCCCATTTTCACTGCTTTTCTGAACCTCGCTTTGGAGCGCTCTCCCCAGGCAAGCTCCGGGTTCACCCTCTCAAATGGTGCCTTTACGCGGCCTACCCCCCCCAACCCCTCGACTCACTTCGTTCGGCCTAAGAGCTCAAGCCTAGCCTATCGGCTGGCTTCGTAATCTATATATATATATATACCTGAATCTTCCTAGGGCTGCACTTTTTGCGCCTCCAATCTAGAAGGCGCCTCTAGGAACTGAGAGGCAATTTTTTTTGCAAGAGGCGATTCTTGTGTTACATAGATTTCTCCCCAGTTATGTTATAGAACATATGATAACCGTGATAACAATGAAACTTATACACTTAACATATAGGAAAAACACCACAAACCCCGAACCATGAACCAAACATAAGTTATATGCATTCAAAAGGTTCAAGCATGATAAACCGTGAAACACATGAAGGCACGATAACTCACTGTGGAAAAGTGAGCGCACACAACATGAAACTATATATAGATATATATGAACTGCTAATTTTCCATTTGGAGTTGCCTGCGAAAAATGACCCCCCACAAGTCCGGCTTTCCCCTTCAACACCTGCATTTCAGGCAGGTCCAACCGGACTTGTGGGGGTCTTTTTTGCAAGGAAAATTGCAAATATGAACATGATATCGCGCAATTTGATAAACACACATGAAAACATGAAACACATGAAAAGCACATGAAAAACCTGAAATACATGAAAACACATGAAACATATGAAAGCCACATTAAAAACATGAAAGCACAGGAGAGCCACATGAAAAAAAATAACACATGAAACATATGAAAAACGCAAAATACACGAAAACACACATTAAAGCACATGAAAAACATGCAACATAAGCAAAACCATGAAACACGTGAAACAACGAGAGGCGGAACTTCCCGGGTAAGAGGCGGAATTCCTGGGTTATGAATTTTTGGCATAGTATTTAATTAAGTCGACAGGTTGCCGCTTTCAGGCTAGTCTCTACTCGAAAGGGGAAATGGCGTATCAGCTTCCATCCCGTGTCTTTTCGAGTTCGACCCTGATGGCTGGTTTGACGTTAGTGAAAGAAGAGAAAGATGTGGACAAACTTGATGGTGACGATGCAACCCTGATGTCAGAGCTGCAACAACCGCAGGTGGGGCTGTTCGTTTCTATAGGTATTGATACTCACCTCTAGTCAGTGTTTTGGTCTGAACATTTCCTGGCTAAACATGTTAGCTTTGTTTTCTGCCGGTTGCAGGCGCTCAGGTTGCAAATCCAGCAACTGCCTACTCCTATGACCTCTGCCTTGAAAGACCTCCAAACGCCAAACACCTCGGAGAGTTACGTCTTGCCTGATGATGAAACTCAAACGGCTGGTCTGGGCTTGGACGCAGTTGCTAGCAAGCATGATGAAAGTCTGTTTGCTTGGGTTTGACCGATAATCTTTTATCATGTTGATATCATGTTGATAGCTGTCGGCAGCAGCAGCAGCGGAAGACCACCAAAAACATTACACATGACAAGATTCCCTTCTACCAGAAAAGCACGAGAGGCAGTTTTTGTTCTAAGCGGCAACTCTTGAATGGAGAGGCTAACATTTGAGCCTCTCTGCTAAGAGGCTGAGAAAAGCAACCACCGGAGGTTTAAGGTATATATATACTAATGTATACACTACCGCTGAGGTGAACCCCTTGAAAAGTTGCTCATGTGGTGGGTCTATTTTGTTCGAAAGGAACCAAATGTTCTTTGATGTGATCAGCAGGTGTGGGCACCCCCAAATACTTACTTGTTCGACTTGTCCGAGATTGCTGACTGCATCACTCTACTGCAATGCCCTTATTACTTACTTACTTACTTACTTATTTACTTACTTACTTACTCTCACTTCAATTCCATGAATTATCTAGTATGGACATGCGTCCAAAGGCAAATGACAAATGAGCCTGACCTTCAGATCCAAGGCTTCATACATCAGGATTTGACGAGGTGTGTTCATGAGGTGCTCCTCCGAGATCGAACCCGAAAAGTGACCGAAGTGAATCGACATGATTCACAAAGTGATCAATGAGCAATCCCGCTACTAGGAGCAAAGGGCATCGCTACTAGGAGCAAGGACGCTACTAGGGGCTCCTGGCCGTACTACTAGGAGCAAGAAGCTACTAGGACCTTTTCGCTACTAGGCCCAAAGTGATTTGACATGAGAGGCCCCGCCTGAGCTCTGAGCACGTGCGAAATGCCCATGAAGGCATCGTCCACCACAACGCCAAAGTTGTACATCGGCATGCCTCAGGCTCAAAAACGTCCAGGTCACGGAGAGATAGTGAAGCTAGTAACAAGTGCATCGCTACTAGTAGCAAGAAGCTACTAGTAACACTTTGTGCAATAGAATCCAATGCAAACACAACCCCTTTTCATACGATAAGTAAGTGTCAGACCATTCTGACGAACGATGACAAAGTCACCACCGAGGTCGTCTGAATTCCAGATGACCTTCACGGGTCAGACTTGGATGTGCTATGTCCAAGTCGGTGTGAGACATCACTATGCAACACCACAAGCACTTGGATCAGCTAGTGTCACAGGTAGATCCTATTTGTTGCAATGATGAATGATAATGATAAACTTTGGAGTAACAAGGGCCTTGACCATAATTCTGATGAGAGTAAATCCCTATACACTGTGTGGTGAACCTTCAACAGGCGATTACTATTGCCCATATCAAGCTCCAAAGAAGTGCTTGCACGTTGAGGTCGTGCCTCTCCAAGGACCAAGTCATCAACCACAATCTCCCTGAGCATTTTTTGTTAAATTGACGTCAAACTGGAAGAACTGTTGGTTTCGAACAATTGCTTGGTTTGTCGCTTGTGCTTTTGTAAAAACCAAATGCCTGTTGGGATTAGTAAGGGGGAGTTAAGTCAATGACAGCACGCACATGTAAGTAGAGGTTTTGTTGAGGCAAAAGGCAAACCCAAAGGTCATAGTAAAGAATCCAAGAAAGGAAACTAGGCAGAAAACATGGAACCTCATTTGATAAGAAAGAAAATAAAAGACAGGCTGTCTATATATATAAAGAAAAAAGGACGGCTTAAGGTCTGAAAAAAGGCAACGAATAGAAACCAACAAAGAGTCAAAAGTCTAATGCCAAAAGGAAAGGACAAATAATGAAAGCAAATCATTCATCATTGTTGTTTGTAGTAGCAAGGGGGGTAGTTGAGTCCATGACCCGCCTTCCAGTAGTAAGATATATATATATTACATAATATATAATACAGTACAGTATGTCTTTCTTGGCAGTAGGGGTAGTAAAGAAGAGTACGGCGCGCATGCTGCCTGTCGAAGGGCACCCTGAATCTGTAGACATACGGCTTGCCCTGGTCGATCATGGCCTTTACACAAGCTTGAGCACAAAGACTCTTTCAAGTCGTCCATGTTTTTGTCTTCAACTTATCTTCCTTCTCTGCTCTTCCAATTTGAATTTGAGTCAACATCGGTTGCCTGGACCTCCTCATCAGATGCATTGGCCCATGGGCTCTGCAGAAAGAAGGCCTCCCAAGCGGCAGCCCTACTGCAAGCCCTTCAAATGCATCTTGGATTGCCTGGTCATTCCGCTCAGCTTCAGCCCTCATCTCGTCCAGTTCCTCTGAATTCGGCAGTTCTTGCTGCAAGCTGCAAACAATGTCACAGTCTTGTGGTGACTTGAAGAACTACTTAGCCTCAGGAGATAGGAAGCATCTGTAGGCATGCCCATTCGCCATCAACTTCTCCAACTGCTCTTTGTAAATTCCAGCCTCTCAAATGTTTGGACAATGTGAAAACTGGAAACTATGGCCTCAAAGAATGTCCTGCAGGATTCTGCCGTTGAATTGTGGCCTCGATGCGCTCGGACTGGCGATAGGGTCCATGCTCACCACCAATGTCTGGGCCCTCATCCCAAGTTATGCCACACCATTTCAGACCCTGCAAACACAGAGCCATGCTGTTTGTTTGACAAATTCGGTCTGACCAAAAGATTATTCAGTCACGTTGTTGCAAATCTATGTACACCTGCAGTCCACGGCATCAGTCTGCTATTCTAGCATCCTCAGATTGAAAAGCTCCCATCCTCCAGGATTGCAGCTTCTGACTCTTTTGTCGAGCGAGCTATATCGGTGTCCTGGCATTTGGGCACAGGAGGCTGAAGAGGATTCGAACACTATATTTCCCAAAACAAAGCTACTAGGAACAAGAAGCTACTAGGGGCTCCTGGCATCGCTACTAGGAGCAAGGACACTACTAGGGGCTGCTGGCCGGGAGCAATGTTCGCTACTAGGAGCAAAGAAGCTACTAGAGGTTCAATTGTAACGGCTTAGCAGGTCCCCCCTGCAATACAACCAAAAGCAACTCACGCCGGCTGAGGGCTGTCTCCAGCAATATTTTAGCACCATTTGTTTTTTTTAATATGAGCTCCACACTCTTACATTGTGAATGACAGTGTTTATTTCGCGAAACCAAAAGCTCTCTCTCTCTCTACACTGGTGATATTCTCAGCAACATGTTGAGTGAACTCCTGTCTTCTCACGGCCTGCCTCAACTCGCAAGACCATCTCACCTCCTTGTGACTTGGCGAATAGCCAATTAAACAATGCTGTTCGAGCTCCACCAACATGTAACCTGCGTGTGAAGAGATTGCCAAAGCCAATCTTGAAGCTGACACTGAAATCGGGAAGTAGGCGAGTCTACGGTCACTGCAGTCGGCATTTGTCTGACTCCACGACTTTGTCGTGAATGGGTGCATTTGCAATGCCTTCGTTGTGAGGCCGCTGGCACCTAGACGCATCTTTGACGTCTCATGGTCTCATGGTGCCACTATGCACATTTGATCACATTTGGAAGGTTTGCCTTCCTGGCTCCAAGTGGAGCCCGAGATGAGCTTTTCTCATCGGCAGTGAAACGTCTACCACTTGTATGTGTGATGTTATCTTATCAGGTTGTTTGTGTAAATAGTGCGTCCAAAATGTCAACTGCCAGATGCTAGAGACGGCTTGAGTTTTAGACCAAGTGGTTTCTGAATCCTGCATATGGATGTAGAGTCGTTGGTGGGACAAAGGGTCACGCTCACTGTTCGGCTTGAGGATTGTAACCTCTTGTGAGCGAGAGTGGTCCATGCTCCAAAAGAAAAAAACTACTACTAGTAGCTTCTTTGCTCCTAGTAGCGAACATTGCTCCTAGTAGTATGGCCAGGAGCCCCTAGTAGCGTCCTTGCTCCTAGTAGCGATGCCAGGAGCCCCTAGTAGCGTCCATGCGCAATAATGAAAACATGCATGGCTTTGTTAGCTATTTAAGCCTGGAAACACCAAGCACTACCTGACAGCTGCTGAGGCCCCAGGCCGTACTTCACACTGTGCTTTGGCACTCTCCCTGGTGTGGACGAGCTACGCATCCATTTTCACAGCTGGCCAATTCCATGTTGTTCAAAAAATGCAAAGCCTGGCAAACAGCTGCCGCTTTTTTGCGCACAACGATTTTTTTGCACAACGTTAGGACTGTTGCGCAGTGTAGGAACCCAAGGTGTTCCTACCTGAACGAGGCAAACTACGCTTCTGCTAAGAACCATGCACGTGATGCATTGATGAACTGAAAAACCTCCTTGGCATGTTCGTCTGAGCTCTTGTCAGGATGGTACTCTAGGATCATTTGCCGGAGGACCTTCTTCCTCTCTGCAAGGGGTTTGTCCATCAAGTCTCTCAACTTTCGTTCGACCACCATCTTCTTCTCTTTGACTTCAGCACTGTCAGCACTGAAGTCTGTTGCTGAGTCTGTATTGTTCGTGGGTGTTTTTGCTGAAGAGCTGCTGTGTCTGGACTGACCAGACTGATGTGAGTGGTTGCCTGAGTTTGATGGATTCTCTCTGGTTCCGGAACCGAGATTGCTGTAAGAAGAGGCAGAACGTTTACTGTAAGCTTTGCTTTGAAACTCCCCTATCGTTGGAATTGAACCGCTTGGTGTTGTCGGCCTGGCCGTATTGTTTCCACCAGCAGACTTTCGGCCGAGAGTAGCAGCTGCAGAACCCGCGCCAGCAAGGCCATTCTTGGCAATAGATGCCTTGACATAGGCACTCTGCCACTGCGCTTTGGGACTTTCTGCTGATCTGACCTTAAGCCGTGGAAGGCATGCAGTGACAGAAACGTTATTGTAAGGCAAAACAAGGCTCATTGCATATTATTGAAATCGAGTTTTTGTTCTTCCTCCGATAGCTGCAAGAAAAAAACCCGAGTCATTGGAATATCTTGGTCTCCATCAAAGCAATAAGGAGAGCGCCGCATTGGAATCTCTGTGGATTGTCCAGAATGAAGGAGGAAAACAAGTGTCTTACAAAATGTCAGAAAGAACAGCGTGTTTGGATGTTCTTTTGAGAGGCACCTCCAATGGCTTTGGCCTCTCGAACCAAACAATACTCCTTTATCCTGGCCCCATGTTCAGAAAAAGCCAAAGAACTAAACAAGTTCAGTCAGAATGGCTACTACCAGTACTGCCCCACAAAGGCTGCATGCTGTTCAAAAGCAACTGAGGATCTGGCCTTTTGAGCCCAATTTCGACCACTAGAATCACGCGTCGATGAGTTGTCTGCTTCTGTCTGATCGAAGCTCAAAGTTGTCCCAGATCCGTCAAAATCCAAATGTTCCTTCTCATGCGATGGCAATGTCTCAGGGTAGATGCTTCTGGCTTTAGCATGGCTTTTCAAGCGGCATAGTCGCCACGTGATCAAGGCCCCCCAAAGCAACTAGTAGGCCACCTCCACCTGCCAAAATCAAAGGATAGTTTTCTTCAAATCCTGGTAGTACACCACTCTCAATTACGTGCGTACTCCTGGTTCGAAAGGTGTAGAAACCTGCTGGTATACCAGGAAATAAGTTGCCAGAAGTGTCAGCAATGGCGTCGTTTGGCAAACCCAGGGAATACTCAAAATCTCCCTTGGTCAATTGAGACAAGTCCACAATTATCTCACGGTCCTTCACCGCTACGGTCGGCGATGACATCTGAAATGACGCCACCGCCCCTTCAAACAAAGAGGCAGAGCTATCATCACTGGTTTCGTAAAGTACAATGACACCCTTTTGAGAAACAACTTTTATGTCCTCGTCGAAGGCAAATGTCACAGAGCTTCCAGGTACGACATCTGATGCGCCATTCGGCGGTGTGTAGGATCTGACATTGGGCTGAACTGTATCTCCAAGTGAAAAACTATAGAGACCTTTCTCCAAACCCGTGAAGGGCACGTCATCATTGTCTACAACAACCCCATAACCAATCTCCAAAGTGCATTCACGTGTACTTTTAAAGTTGCTTTTCAACAATACGGAGATGCTGATCCGTATTCCTTTTCCTGTTAGACTGAGTTGAATGTCGCTCCATGGTACGTAAAAGGGCAAGGGCTGCTCACTGCAGGTGAAGGAAGTCGTTCCTGTCTCTTTGACAGTGACAGTTCGATCAAAGTCAATCTGCAGGTCTTTGTGTTGGGGCAGGGTCAGCTGCGTCCCAGCCGCTGGAACAAAGGACACAATCTCAGGTGGTCGACAATGCGACTGTCTTGCACATGCACTGCATCTGGTTGTACCATCTCCCTCGAAGCATGAGCCTTTCGTAGAGTCCCAATGGCACTTCAAGGGCGAGAATGCACACAGGCAGGCCGATGTCAGTCCACCACATGTCAGAGCTTGGCATTCCTGCTGCGAGTCACATGCAGTACAAGGAACACGACCATTGCCCCGCTGACAGCGGTATTGATCATTGATCTTGGCCCATTCACATGCAGAAACCCCAGCGCATTCACAAGGAGACGTAATGGTGGCGCAGTCCTGAGGATTTGTGTGGGCTTCAGTAGTTGTGATTCGTGGGATGTAAGGCAGGGGCTCTGGCGTTGAAGTCCACGTTTCAAAAGAAACAGGCCTTCTAACTGTCTCCTCTTTCACTTCCGGAATTGGCATGACCAAGAGCCAGCCATCGCTGACTTGCACTTGATCTTTCATTGCCTGGCTTGACAAGACCAGCTCTTTGAATTTTACAAGGATGGCTGATTCTGAGGCCTTTCGCAGCATGTAGGCGATATCTTCGCTGCCTCCCTTCGGGGGCAAAACTGCAAATGAAAATTCAAAAATATTGGAGACAGTATCAGGACGGGAAGAGAAGCCAGGAAGCAGTTGAACTGCGTATTCACGAAGATTGAGAACAATTTGAATGGCCCGCTGTAGTAGAAGGGCAGCTTCTCCAACGAGACCCATGGGGAAGTCTGCAATCAAATCCATCTCACAATACACCACTTCTTCTTGGCTTTGCTCTAGTTGATGATCGTTCTCCTTGTTGTTGAATGCAATCTGCAACCTTCGACCTGGTTTCACGCGTTTGACTTCAGCATGGCTGATGGAAGGATTGGAGCTCGATTGCTGCAAGAAAGCCTCCGACTCAGGTTGAACTCTTGATAACCCACCGATGAGTTCTTCTGGAGGATAAGATTCCGCTAAAGATCCACAGTGCCATAAAAGCACTGCAGCTTGGAATGGTCTGATCCAGCCTCTGAGGGGCTTGAGTCTTCGACTGATCCCTCTACTGGATGAAAACATTGGGATGCTGCAGCGCTCACATGAGGACCAAGGCTAAGTCTCAGCCCGGGCTACAGCTGAGGGAGCCAAAACAATATCAAGAACAGGCATTCTCTGAGGTTCCTAGATTCGGCAAATATTTTCCATGAGAAGCGCTACGAGTACTGTACACCAATCGCGTCACTGCAGTAGCTACAAATTTTTTGACACCCATCACCTGCGCACGGAAGCACCACAAACCATGCGGCTTGCCACCCATGGCTAGTGACTTCAGCCTGAAGGCTGAACGGGATCATCGAGCGCAAGGCAACAATTGGTCAACTTCATTTCATATTTTGCCATCTCCAAACCTGACAGAATCTTGCCTACCGTCACTCAAGCCTTCCCGCAACTTGCAGGACCAATTTCCAGCAATTTTCCAGCCACTATAATGCTCTGCAAATGCTCTTTGAGGCATATGCGCTGCAAGTTTCAGTCTGCAAACATCTTTGATGCTTGATGAACTTGATGAGGGAACGATGAAGTGCATCTGCGCCTCAGTAGATTCTACGGCCAAGCTACAGGCTACAGGACCATACACAGCAAGCTTGAGCAAGCATGTCAGAAACTCGTAGAAACTCCGCACTGCTACTTGAAAGACTCTCGACAAAAATAAATCTTGCGGTAGCATATAATATATATTCATTATATAAGTATAAAACTCAGTTGGCTCGCAGTTCATGTGTGGGCATCTCAAGTCTGGCCTGCCCAGTTGGTCCGCTTGCAGTTCCAGTAGAGCAGCCTACACAATGCAAGCATGCCACATGAGCAGCATGCACAGAGCATGCACTTGGGACCTGCCGACAATCAGTTCTGCATGCAGCACCTCTGTGCAGCGACCACAGGAGGCGAGGAAATGGGCCAGGCCTTGCAGTGCATTCACTTAAGAAACTTCAAAGACATAAAAACAAACTGTATGGTTACTAGTAGCGATGACCTCCAACCTAACAGTGATGGCCTCCACTCTAATAGTTTCTTGTTACTTGCAAAAAGCAGGATGGACAGTGGTACGGACAAAAGGATACTTGTGGCCAAACCACGTGCAAAAAAAACTGCAGAGGTATTCTGAGACAAGGGCATAGACGGCATAGACGGTCCATTTCCAAAAATGACTAGAACTTAGACTGTGAGAGGAGGTTTAGACATATGATAAAATAGTTTAAATATGATAAAATATACTGATACTGTATGCACCAATGCGATAGGATATTTATATAAACACGCCAAGGGGCAGCATATGCGGAGCATACGCAATGCAACATGTCTATTTCAAGGATGTGGTTTGCCTACCTGCTGGACGACTACTACTGCCCACTACCACTACTACCACTACTACCACTACC